GTCTTCTCAGGTCTTCTCCAGTGCACAGAGCAACGCTGGAGAACACCCCTGCCCACACACACACCAAGCCCGGGCAAGGGGATGGTAAAACTACCCACTTTGGGCCTAAATGCAGTGAGGCCTTTAAGATATCTCAATAAAACATTGTTGCCCTCATGTGGCCAATGCTGGAAATAACAGCTGAGACACGTGTTCTAGGCAGTGCAGCAGCATCAGCAACTGGGAATTTGTTAGAAATGCAAATATCTCGGGATCCATCCTGACATCCATCCTGACTTACTGAATCAAAATTTTGCTGGATCCCACCCCCAATTTGTCTTTTTTTTTTTAGACGGAGTCCTGCTCTGTTACCCAAGCTGAAGTGCAGTGGTGCGATCTCGGCTCACTGCAACCTCCACTTCCCGGGTTCAAGTAATTCTCCTGCCTCAGTCTCCCGGGTAGCTGGGATTATGTTATGGGCTCAAGCCACCATGCCTGGCTTGCATTTATTTATTTATTCATTCATTCATTCGAGATGGAGTCTTACTCTGTCACCCAGGCTGGAGTGTAGTAGCGTGATCTCGGCTCACTGCAACCTCTACCTCCTGGGTTCAAGCAATTCTCCTGCCTCAGCCTTCCCAGTAGTTCATAGCACAGGCACCCACCACCATGCCCAGCTAATTTTTTGTACTTTTAGTAGAGATGGGATTTTGCCATGTTAACCAGGCTGGTCACAAACTCCTGACCTCAGGTGATCTGCCTGCCTCAGCCTCCCAAAGTGCTGGGATTAAGGTATGAATCACCGCGCCCACCTCCAGTTTTTTGTTGTTGTTGTTTATTGAGATGGAGTCTTGCTCCGTCACCCATGCTGGAGTGCAGTGGTGAAGTCTCAGCTCACTGTAACCTCCATCTCCCTGGTTCAAGGGATTCTCCTGCCTCAGTCTCCTGAGGAGCTGGGACTACAGGCGTGCCACCAGGCCCGGCCTCAATTTGTTTCCTGATGAGCTCTTCAGATGATTCTGATGAATGCTAACAGACTTGAAAACCAAACCACCATTCTTAACCCACATGCCAATATCAATATTTCCAACTGCCCCATATCTGCCACACACATCCCAGTGATTTACCCCTAATTTCTGGATTTCTGGGTGTGGTTTTTTTTTGCTTTTTTCTGATACGGAGTTTCACTCTTTTTTCCCAGGCTGGAGTGCAATGGCGTGATCTCGGCTCACTGCATCCTCCGCCTCCTGGGTTCAAGAGATTCTCCTGCCTCCGCTTCCCAAGTAGCTGGGATTACAGGCGCCTGCCAGCATACCTGGCTAATTTTTGTAGTTTTAGTAGAGACGGGGTTTTACCATGTTGGTCAGGCTGGTCTTGAACTCATTTTTATTTTTATTTATTTATTTTTGAGATGGAGTTTCGTTCTTGTTACCCAGGCTGGAGTGCAATGGCGCGATCTAGGCTCACTGCAACCTCCGTCTCCTGGGTTCAAGCAATTCTCCTGCCTCAGCCTCCCCAGTAGCTGGGACTACGGGCATGCGCCACCATGCCCAGCTAATTTTTGTATTTTTAGTAGAGATGGGGTTTCACCATGTTGGCCAGGATGGTCTCGATCTGTTGACCTCGTGATCCACCCACCTCGGCCTCCCAAAGTGCTGGGATTACAAGCGTGAGCCACCGCGCCCAGTCTCATTTTTATTTTTTAATTAGAAGTGGAGTTTCCCGGCCAGGCGTGGTGGCTTAAGCCTGTAATCCCAGCACTTTGGGAGGCTCAGGTGGGTGGATCACCTAAGGTTGGGAGTTTGAGGCCAGCCTGGCCAACATGGAGAAACCCCATCTCTACTAAAAATACAAAATTAGCTGCACGTGGTGGTGCACGCCTATAAGCCCAGCTACTCAGGAGGCTGAGGCAGGAGAATCGCTTGAACTGGGGAGGCAGAGGTTGCAGTGAGCCTAGATGGTGCCATTGCATTCCAGCCTGGGCAACAGAAGAAGACTGTCTCAA